CCCCTTTTAAATGCTGAGAATATTTTAGTTATAGGAAAGGGTTTTACTTTTAATAGGAACAGTCTTTGTTATCTTTTCCCCCCTCTCAGAAAAGAACATAGCTGCCAAGGATCCTTAAAGAGCACAGATTCAGAGAAAAGGACATCGACAGAGGATAGATCCCGGGGGTGACATGAAGGCGTTCCGTAAATAGCTGTGCTATTTTCCTGTGGAGTGTCTGGCACTCTCTATATAGTACCATGGCCGTGTCTGGGAGCTGTGTGTCTGAGTCTGCGATGAAGCATCCACGCCGAATCTCAGAGCGGTGCCCACATAGCCAGGGCAGCTGGCTCTTTCTGAAGTTTTAAACTCTTTAAATGACAAACTTTTTTATTTAGCATCATTGGAAACAGAATCCTGCCTCATCACTTGCATTCAAATAGTCATCACTTCACCTTTAACCCCAGACACTCTGGGGGAAAAAAGTGTGAACAAATGTTAGTTCTGAGATCTTTGTAGAAATTTTGTGCTGAGCAAAATCTATCCTTTCTAGCATGAAACTGACACAGAAATGTAAAGTTTTGTTTCTTTGATTCATCTCATTACCTAGAACCCTAAGCCATTGTGTGGTCTGTGGCAAAATCCCATGTGTCTTTCGTGACCTAACTTAAATGAAAAAGCCTTCCACCAAAGATGCCTGGCCATATTTTCTTTAATCCTCACCTGAAGATATGTTTTTATTGATTTTAAAGACAGAGGAAGGGAGAGAGAAAAACACTGATGTGAGAAACATCAACTGGTTGCCTCCCATACATGACCTGGGATCCAGCCTGAAACCTAGGTATGTGCCCTGACCCGGAATCAAACCCGCAACCTTTGCGTATACAGGCCGATGCTCCAAACAACTGAGCTACCCAGTCAGGGCATGCTTGGCCATATTTGTTTTCTTTCTAGTGGTCCCACAGTTATGGTTTATTGTCTTTAATGGTAATTTCTCTTACTATTTTAAAAATATCTTTGCCTTTTGCTGTTTTAGTAACTGTTCTTGTCTTTGATTGTGAGCCTGTCCCTTACAGGCTCTGATGGCTTGTTACATGTGGCCCACGTTTCAGTTACTACCTGGTGTTCACACACTTACCAAGAATTTTTTGGCACCTGCTGTATGCAGAGCACAACCCATGCATTCTCATGTCCGAGATGGGATCTGCTTACCAGTTTTTCACAGATTTGAAAATTTAGTGCAACTGGGCAAAAGCAGTTTGAGAGCTGAAAAACCATAGGCATTTTAAGAAAATATCAAAAAAGAGCACAGTGCTATTTTTTAGTGCCATAGAGCCATTCTGTTAAGTTAAGGAAAAACCTATGTGTTAGATTTAACTTTGTTTCTTAGTATGTTTGGTATATTTGATATATAAGACCCAAAAAATCGAAATGATTTTGTTTTCTGCAGTATGGGAGCGAATAGGAGTCTGAAGGTAGAGTGAGTTGGGAGAGAGCTGTATTTTTGTGAAATTTTTAGTAAATTTTCTGGGGGGTTTTCCCCACTTATGGAGAAGAGCTAGAACATAAAAGCATTAAGTGTTGTTTTTGATTCAAAATATTTCTGAGAGAAATTAAAGATCTCAATAAATGGAGAGATATATCATATCCATGGTTAGAAGACTCAGTGTTCTAACTCAGTGTTTGGTGGGATGTTAATTCTCACCAAATTGATGTGCTGAAATGGGCAAACCAACTGTGACGCTCACACGGAAATGAAAAGGATTAGAGCCGTCAAAGCAACTTAGATGAAGAAGAACAGAGTAGGAAGACTAACACTACCTGATTTTAAGAGTAATTGTAAAGTCATAGTAAAACAAAATAGTGTGATATTAGCATCAAAATCACCAAACCAATGAATCAGAGGAGAAGTCCAGAAACAAATTCGCACGTATGACATATGATTTTTTACAAAGATGCAGAGGCAGCTCAGTTATTCCCAGACAATTAGATGCAGTTGGAACAATTGGATCTCCATATGCAAAAAACAAAAGAACTTCAGTTAGCCTCTCATACTGTATATACAGATTAGCTCAAAATAGATAATAATCTAGCCCCACTGGCGTGGCTCAGTGGTTGAGCATCAACCTATGAATAAGAGGTCACGATTCGACTCCCAGTCAGGGCACATGCCCGGGTTGCAGGCTCAATATCCAGTGGGAGGGGCGTGCAGGAGGCATTTTATTCTTCCAGGGGTCCCCAAGACCACCCATATTAAATGACTTACTAGGACTCATAGCAGTCAGCAGTTGTACAGTAAGTTCTCAACATCATTGATAGGTTCTGTGACTAAGCAAAATTATGTATAACAAAACCATTTTTACCATAGGCTAGTTAATATAAATAAGAGTTAAGTTCCTACAGAATCTCATCAAAGTTATAATCAAGCCAAGTTGAACAAAATGACATTATTTGAGGACTTGTGGCTACTATTTATTACAGTGACACAGTAAGGATGCATAGCTGGAAGGGGGTGGAGGGAGGACATCAGAAGGGCTGGAGGACTCCAGGTGCAGGCTTCCATATTCTCTCCCTCCCATGAGGGCTCACAGGGAGCACGCCTTCCCTCCAGCAAAGATGTTACCACAGGTACATAGTGTTCACGCTCCGGGAAACCCATGTCAGGGTCAGAGTTTTTATTGGAGTCTGGTCACCAGTACTTCAGATCCCCAAAGGAAAGCAGGTGCTTAGTACCCCAGGCAGGCAAACAACCTTATCTGTGTAGGGTTTATTTCAAGCCAGGTTTTCAGATGCCAACCAAGGGTCAGCCTGGAATGCAGGCCTTTCTAAAGATAACTGTCAGGACTATTCATTCTTTTCTGCAGTCAATTGTACTTCAGTAGATCTTTCTTTTTGTTGTTTTTATTTATTTAAATTATTTTTAATTTTTCAATTATAGTGACATACAATATCAGTTTCAGGTGTACCCCTCCGGTGATTAGAACAGAACAGAAACAGATTCATAGATATAGAGAACTTTTTGATGGTTTCCAGATGGAAGGGGGGTGTGGGAGATGGGTGAAAAAAGATGAAGGGTTTAAGAAGTACAAATTGGTTGTTACAGAATTGTCATGGGGATATGAAGTACAGCATAGGGAATATAGTCAATAATATTCTAATAACTATGTATGCTGACAGTCTTATGGGAGCTCCCATGTAGGTAACTAACTGCTTTTCTCTTTCTGCTTTTAAGATTCTCTTTGTCTTTAACCTTTGGCATTTTAATTAAGATGTATTTTGGTGTGGGCCTCTTTGGGTTCATCTTGTTTGGGAGTCTGCACTTCCTGGACTTGTATGTCTATTTCCTTCACCAGATTAGGGAAGTTTTCTGTCATTACTTGTTCAAATCGATTTTCAACTTCTTGCTTTCTCTTCCCCTTCCAGCACCCCCATGTTACAAATGTTAGTATGCTTGAAGTTGTTCCAGAGGCTCTTCATATTTCTGGATTCTTTTTTCTTTTTGCTCATCTGATTGGATGTTTTTTGCTTCCTTATATTCCAAATCACTGATTTGATTATCGGCTTCATCTACTGTTGATACCTTGTAGTATATTAGTATATTCATCATTTCAGTTAGTGTATTCATTATTATACCTCAGTAGAACTTTCTAAAAAATTATCATATGTGTTAGTATGAGCTAGTACAAGGCAACAGTGATTAATTTATTGAAAAAGGGGTAGACTTAAAAAGTTGTAATTTCAGATTTGGGGAAGACCAACATAAGTGAGATCTTCATTACTTGGTGCACTTCATGCCCTTAAGTCCTCTTGTTAGAATGAGGTGGGATATTAATAAAAGAGTCAAGTTGAGATGTTTGGCAAATGGGAGCATCTAATTATTTTTAATCTTTAATAATTTGACTTTTCATTTGAATTGTATTTGAAAATCTTTCCCAAATACATAATTTTCCTTTTTTTTTCATTAAAAAAAATCCTTGAATGATAATCATTATTTTAGCCATTGGTTACTGATCATGACCCAGTTCTATAGCAAATGAAAGGTAAAGTATTGGTGTTGAGATTATAATTACCTTAACAACAGCACTACCTCACCCAGGTAAGAGGGCGAGTGGAGCTGGAACCCAGCTGATACTTTGATGGCTGGGCCCATAAGCCATGGGCTCAGTGTGGAGTGTGTCTGCCCAAGAAAGCGGCACCTTTTTCTGATTTGCCAAAGGTGCCATGTGGGCTGACTCTGGCTCTGCTCAACACCTGTCCAGGAAGATGGTGGTGTTTTCTCCCCAAAAATGCTGCCTAGTATCATCGAGCTTTCTTGTGAGCGTGTCTTTCCCCTTAAAGAATTCCCAACAAGTAACTTTCAGTTGAGGGTTGTCTTTAACCAGAACTCCGCTAGGTACAACAGAGTGTATTAGGAGAGGACCAGCTACTTCAGCTGCCTTTTCTTCTATAATTTGGCCCATTGCCATTGAAAGACAGGCAAATTTACGTATGTTTTTCTTTTGTCTCCCAGGAGGATGCCTGGTGTCTCTTCTGTACCTGGTTCCCATTATTAATGCCGCCAGCCAAGATTTCTGTGTCTGTAGCAATAAAAAATTCAGAGCAAGGCAACTCCTATGGCCCCTCTGAGTCAAATGTTTGCTGTTACTGAGTAATAAAGTTTCCTAAAGAGGAACTAAACCTCCTCACTTCCAAAGATACACTTGTTTAAAAGATCCAACTTTGGAGCAAATAGGAAACATTTGATAGTCACAATGTGGCTTCCAATAAGTGATGTTCTCTCCGTCCTGCCTGAGCCGGAGGCTTAGTGTATGACAGAGTGCGCAGTTGCTGGTGCTGAATAGACAAACAGTAATTGGGTAGCAATCCGTCAGCAGGAGGGTTCTGTTTGGAAGCGTTCAACTTTTGGGAATCGACATCCTCCCACCCCTTCGCATTTCTTCTGCTTGCCTCACCTTCTTTCCCTCCCGTCAACTTCTTTTCCCTAAAGAAACTTACACCAAATCTCTTTCCCCTTTTTATAGATGCGAACCACACGCAAGGTCTCTGTCTGGCCAGTGGGCCTGGTTGGCGGGCGACGCTACGAACGTCCGTTGGTGGAAAATGGCAAAGTCGTTGGTTGGTACACCGGCTGGAGAGCAGACAGGCCTTTTGCCATCGACATGGCAGGTGAGGAGTGTGGGTGACACTTGCGTCGGCTCGATTGTTCTTACGGATGTTCCCAGTGTCGCAGGGCACTAGACGAAGGAAGCTTTAAAAGACCACTTGGGTGAAAACGCTGATCTTAACATATGCAGCAGATTAGCCATTTAAACCTTCAAAACAGGCTCTCTGGTTAATTCAGATGGAAATTTATTTTGGGGGTGATTAGAAAATGCTCGTTCCATTCCATTTTGGCACTTGTCTGTGCGGCCACCCTTTTATCCAACAGATGTTTATGTGCCAGGTGCAGAGTTGGGCACTGGGAGTCAGTGGTGAGAACTGGCCCTGGCCTTAGGTTTTGGTACCTCTCTCCGGTTTGTTACAGTAACTCACACACTTATGAATATATGAATATATGTAATAGTGATGTGAGTTTGACAGGCTAATCAGTTTAATGCTTATTGATAAATTTAGTACTTCTTAATAACTAGTATATAAAATTAGGGTTACTTATTTTTCAAGCATGTGTTAATTTTGAATATATCTGTATTTTAAAGTTTTTTCTTTTCTAACCAAACAATTGAATTAAATAAGACCCTGTAGCAGACTACTGATTCTAAAATGCTACTCTATCATAAAGTGACTCGTTTTCTGTGGGTTGTATAAAGTGATGCCTGTGATAACTGTGGAAAGATTCAGTTTGAAACATGAGGCTTAGAGGCAAAAAAAATAACCGACATCTATAACCTAGAAGACAAAGGCAGAAAAGCTTCAAAATTGATGTCATCAATCTTCAGCTCTGAAAAACTGCTCTGTCTGTCAGCCTGTGCTTGGCCAATCTTTTGTGTATATTTCCCTACTGCCGTCAGAATCTCTATGCTCAGAATTCTGATGGAGTGACGGCTGTGTTCTAAACTGGATTCATCACTTTTATTCTGACAATACTTTAAACTGGAGGAAGCAAGATTATGAAGAAAACCAGGAGCGTGAGCTGTTGGCTGCTCTTGTGGGTGGCAGTGTGGCGGCTCTGTCGCACTGCGTCACGGGGAAGACGAGCTGGTATATTTACTCAGCGTTTAACAAACATTTCCTGAGTGCCAGTTTTTGGAGACTAGGTGTCATTGTGTCTAACTCCAAGGACAGTCTAGATCTCTTACCCTCTCCCAGGCCCCCCTCTCTCCTTCCTGACTTCTCCATCCTTCTTCTAACCAGCCTTCTGCTTTGGTCTTCAATTCTTGTAGCCAAAGAGCCGAGCTGGCATGTCAACTAAAGCATTTACCTGAAGGCAGACAGAAAGGTAGGTCAGCCATACTTGAAAGGTCCTGGGGATTCTCAGAAGAGGCCTTTCTTCAATCAAGTCTGAATTTGTGGCTCTGAAAATATAAGGCTGACCATAATGTGTCTTGGGAGAATCTGGTTCCTTGCTGATCGGACATGTGTGTAACCTTGGACAGAAAACTTGGAGGTCATTAGACATAATCTGTCGCTTCCTGGGACTTAACTTTCCTCAGGTGTAGAAGGAAGCAGTGGCATGGATGGCCACTGGGGTCTCCTCTGATGCATTCTGTCTCCTCCTGGATTCCCACCGGGGCCCCTGGATTCTGAGGGAGGATAGATGTTGGTGCTTCCCTTCCTCAGAGCCTTGCTTCAGCTCAAACTTCCCGGGCACGTTTCCTTACAGGCTCTCTGCCCATTACTCTGCAAGGTCACTGCAAGGTCAGGGCAACTTGGATGGGTCTTCTTGGATTTTGTTGTATGAACTTTATGTAGATGATTAAGTATCCAAGAAACTCATCGAAAATTTCGCATTGATTCCCCCCAGAATTTGTATCCAAATAGAGATAACTAAAATTCAAGAAAGGCACGTGGGTTTTGTGCGTTTTGCCGGGCCTGTGACAAATTGTCCGATGCTCTTTCACTGCCGGATTCGCTGGGAAACTTCTCTCCACAGCATGGCTGATGTTTGGATTTTTCCAAACATTTCAGTATATTTTCAAAGCATAATATAAGACATATTATAAAATATGAATGATTTGCTCTTTTGTATTAATTATCCTTGTTTTAAAGTAGGAATAAATAAGAAAACAACTTTTGCCACACTAAATTATTTTCTTCACACACAAACATGCTCTTTTTGCAAATTACTTTTCAGTAAATTTTTGATATTTTTGGAAGCCTTAACGTGAGAGTGATTTGGTTGATAATGAATGATTCTGATTTTGAGGCAGTTCTGATTCTGAGTCTTGAAAATTCACAGCTTGGTTTAGATTCCACATAAGATTCATTTATTCTCCGTGAGAAGAAGGAAAAGACCTTTTGGACCTTCATGTACAATGGGTACCTCCCACCCCGTTGTCAGGTTACGTGTGCAGACACACCCACGATGGCTGGAAAGAGAGGCTGAAGCTGGAAGGCCACTTGGCTGCCCCGCCCAGCACAGCCAAGGAGGCTGCTTGGAAAAGGGTCTGAGATAGTTGAGGGAGCTGGGGTCTCTCTCTCTCGGGTTTTCACAAGCTGATTAAGAAACAGGAAGCGTAAGAACCAAAATGTTAACCTTCCCACAGCTGTCTCGCCTTTCGGGGTTGCGCACACTCAGTAAAAGCCCCTCCCTCAGGGTCTGTCCTGTTTGTATCTCTCTGAAGTCGTAGCCTAGCCCCGTGGTCGGCAAACTGCGGCTCGCGAGCCACATGCGGCTCTTTGGCCCCTTGAGTGTGGCTCTTCCTAAGCCTTAGGAGTACCCTAATTAAGTTAATAACAAGGTACCTACCTATATAGTTTAAGTTTAAAAAATTTGGCTCTCAAAAGAAATTTCAGTCGTTGTACTGTTGATATTAGGCTCTGTTGACTAATGAGTTTGCCCACCACTGGCCCAGCCCATCACTAGAAGCTCATTTGAGTGTAAGATATCTCGACTAAAACGCTCCCTGTCATTCATAGGGTTGGACTCTGTCTGCATTTGGCCACATTGGACTTTGCAGAGGCTACTTTTGCTATCAGATGAGGAAACATTGTTCTGAAATGATCCTGTATGCATGTTAGTGGCACAAGTCGAGATTATTTCTGTTGCACTGGGGGAAATTTTTCTAAAAGCTTTCTAATGATTACTGCAAAAAAAAGAATTAAGACGCCCATCCACAAGGCGGGAAGAAGCCTCGGAGGCAGCCCCTGCCCTGGCAGCAGCGTGCGGCTGGCTTTGGCAGCTGAGCGATGGCCGCTCTGCCAAGCCCGTGAGGCCGGGAATGTGTCCAGGGGTCTGTGCCTTGGGCTTCAGTGCCTGCACCTCGGGCGTCTGCCCACAAACTGGTTCTTGTTGCCTAAAAGCAGGGCAGTCCACACAGAGTTGTCAGCTCGGTTTTGAGGTCAGGGTGTTACTTCGCAGTGACAGGCTCACGGTGGCCACTTCTAGGGAGGTGTGAGTAGGAATCATGACTTGAAAGAACGGAGCTTAAAGTAATTTTCAGCCTCACCGGGAGGTGTAGATTTGTTCAGATGCAGAACTTAAGGCTGAGGTATTTATTTTGAATTCGCAGCATTTGCATGCACCTTTTTCTTAACTCTAGGAGGTGGCAGGCAGGGCCCTGTGCCCCTCTAATGACAGTATGTACAGCTTCCAGTTGAGTGCCTGGCACCCATACGGCCTGTGTTCCTGTAGAAATCCAGCTGGGCATACGAACTGCAGTACAAGACTAATGACGTGACAGTCGGCTGCTAAAATACCCAGAGTTAGCGCCGACCCCACTAGTTAGAGGGTTTGCTCCCCAACAAGGCTGCCCTTACTTTAGACCAGCCGCACTGTGGGGGACCCAGGCCACCTGTATTTCTTGACAAATTTACTATTTGATGCTTCCCACAACCCTCTGAGGTTTGATAATACATTACAGGGGCTCACAGAACTCAGGATAGCGCTCTACTTACTTGTTTCTAAAACACAAATGAGGGCCAATCCAACGAAAGACACGCGGGGTGAGGTCTGGGGGAGAACCCAGGCTCCTGTGCCTTTTCCTCGTGGGATCGGGATGCATCGCCCTCCCAGCACCCGGAAGTTCCACTGACCTCTGGTGTTAAGAGGTTTTATTGGGGTTTCCCTACGTAGGCACAGTTGATTAAATCAGTGGCCTTGTGATTGAACTCCGTCTCCAGCTTCCATCCCCAGAGGTGAGGGTGGCCCACGGTTCCTGCCTCTGATCATGTGGCTGGTTTTGTGGTAACCAGCCCCATCCTGAAACCATCTAAGTGCCCTCTATGAGCCACCTCAGTAGCATAATAAAGTTACTCCTGTCTCTCAGGCAATTCTAAGGGTTTTGCAAATTCCTTGTCAGGAACCTGGCACTAAGACCAGACAAATTATTTATTATACCACAGGCTCAATAGCGGGTAACTTTCCTCTCATAAGTAAGAGTGCCTCCTGCACCTCGTTTTGCGAGAACTTCTGTTCCCCAAAGCAAAGGGGACATGGAAGTGACGTCTCAGGGCCACTTTGAGCATTGTCCATGGACTTTTTCATAACTCAATAATGAGACATTGTAAAGCAAGCATGTCAAACTCACGGCCCACGGGCTGCATGCGGCCCCCAACAAATATTTTTGCAGCCCAGCCAATATAACAGTATGTAAGAAACGTTTTAATAAAAATTTTGTAACTTAATTTTTACAATATCGTAATAATAACGAACTACAATGTTCTCTAATGACTGATGACTATAATCGTGTCGCATTCATTTCCCTTATGCGCCTTACACGTAAAATAGTGCAGGCGCACATTTCTCTCCACTAATCCTAGCAGCGACTATTTTAGCAGCCGATTGCCACATCATTAGTCTTGGACAGACTTGTTTGGTGTGCACAACAGGAAATATTTCGCCTTCAGAAAATAAGAAAAATAGGTTTGTGTTACGCTTATTAATTTGTGCAGTTATTCAGTGTCTGGTAGGTTCATGTTCAAGAAAAAATATTAATTTTTATTAAAATGTTCTATTATTTTATGTTAACGATTACTCGTTTATTTCAGCACTTTGTATTCAGCATGTC